CCTCTGGTCAAAATGTGTCAAATTCATGTAGCCAAAGGTAGGTAGGGGAGAGTGGGGCAAAGCGGCCACCCTAACGTTTCTAACGATGCCGACGCTTGATTTTTAAACTTGGAAATATTCTTTCTATGCCAATGTGATCCCTATTAAATTGTCTTTTATTCCAACTGCGTTTCATTTCCAAAGGCGTTCACATATGGGAGATATTGAAAAAACTTTAAACCTATAGCATATTGGCCACTTTGCCCCATCCCTGAGGCAAAGCGGCCACTGGCGACTTCTCAAGTCCCGATATGAGAAACAGAATAGTTGCCTCATGCACGACTAGGGTATTTGATGGTGACAAGGTTTAAGGGAAGATGGATGTTTACTTTGTTATCTTCCCACCTATTGCTAAACAAAGAAATAATTTTCTGTGAAAAACATTTAATTGCATAATTTGGTAACTCATGTAACCGAAAAGTGGCCAAGACGAATGCATGACGACACATTTGAATATAAATAATGTTTTTATCCAGATGGAAACAACTTATGGCCAATTGGGGGCTGGCCACTTTGCCTCGGCCGCTTTGCCCCGCGCATACCGTCCGAGACAAAAATATTCCAGCTCAGCTATTAGTGGGGTAAAAAGCATTAAAATTGGTAGAAGGTATGTACGATAACCACGCAATGCATGGACAAAAACGCTTATAAAAATTCCAAACGGTTATGGAATAAAATAACATTTAAAAATTGTTAACATAATTGGTAACCTGGCAAGAAATGCTTTTCCGTGTTTCACAGAACAATGACGATGGGCCTGAAACCCCGGTCTGGCTCATTCGAACGACCGCAAAGAGAAGTATAATTGGAAATCATAAATTGGAACTGACGCCAGCTGTGGAGGGCTAAAACGATGGATGGCCGCTTTGCCCCGGGTGGCCGCTTTGCCCCACTCTCCCCTAATGAAAGTTTTGTGATGAAACATTCAACAGTTGTGAAGATCAGATAATGTTTGACAGATCAAAATCATTAACCAGAAATCAGGGCCCTGTGCCACGGGTGTTGCGCAAGCTAACTGACATAATGTGATGACGTTGTACTGCTGACGTAAGGGGCAATTCTGGCACACAATTGCCGCAATATTGTTTGACATCATCAACTAAATGTTCAAAGTTTACGTCCAAATTTTTTCAAATGCATTACACCCTCGCCCCGTTGGGGGGGGGGGCATTTTGGCCCCCCCTGTGGTTTTTCCTGAATAGCAAGAAAACGGCGGCGCGCAGCGCCGCCAAATTTTCAGTACCTTCCCGGGCATCAACTTGACACCTTCACACAAAATTTCAAGTCTTAGGTCACCTTAGGTCAGGAGTTATTGAGGTCAAGCTGAGGTCATGTTCGAGCAAAAATGAGCAAAAAACATGCAATCTTGAAACGCTCACCAAATCTACAGTTATCAAGCAATTTCAAAGTTCTTTATATGGTCTAGTAGACAAAAAGCGGCGCTACAAAACTGCTATCTCGGATTTTCAAAATTTTGGGTTTTTGACCCCCAAAAATTCAAAAATTTGATTTTTTAAAGAAAAACTAAAAAAAATCCAAAACTTTTCCGAATTTCGAAAAAAACCCGGAATATATGTGATAGTCCCTGCGCTCTTCTATATGCATACCAAATTTCAGATCGATATCTCGTTTTTTGGCCAAGTTATAGCGAAAAAACTGTTCAAAAATGATGACGTCAAATTTTTGAACTCAATTTTTAGCGATTCTAGACCATGTACGGCAAAACAAAGACCATCATTGAACTCCCCCGTGACGAGCTGCATCGATTCGATACCCATTTTATGCAAAAATATTAACTTTGAAATTTGACCTAATTTGACCTGACCTTGACCTGATCTTGACCAAAACGTGACATAAGCTGGCCCCAAAGGCTGCCTGACCCACATAATCGCATTTGTCCTGTAAAATGGACCATAAAACATGTATCACACGACACTTTCATATTGTGACCCCCCAGTGACCTGACCTCTGTGACCTGACCTGGTATCAGTGACCTCAAATTGCAAAATATGTGTTTGAAGAACATTTCCCCATCGATGATTTTCAATGAAATACATCATCGGTTTGACCTAGGTCAATAAAATTGGGTCACAAGGTAGTTCCCTGATAGGGCTATCCAACACCGTTTGCCGCTTGCCGCTAGGTTGCGTGGTTCTTGAGATCTTAGGGGGGCAAAATGGCCCCCCCTAACGGGACGCGTTGCTCGGCAGAGCCCAACGGGGCGTGGGTTAAGAAACATCTTTTATTGATAAATATACAATGACTGCGTACTCTTACTTTTAGGCTAATAACCGCGTCACTAAATGTCAAGGCCAAGGTCACAGCAATCGTGTGCCGGAACTGCCCATCACGTCAACAGTATGGCATCATGACTCATGACATTACGTCAACTCACGAAGCGTGACAGGCCCAGAAAAGACTCGGGTCCTTCAGAGCCAAAAACGGTGGCCGGGCCATAACAACTTATGGATTCAAGGACAAACCGGCATGGCTGCCTCCCAATAAATTTTTTGTTTGTTTCTCCCAACACACACCAAAATAAATAAAAATATAGCATAGCCTGACCTCAATGTTAACTATCGCTCACACGTCGTAGCCTTCGACCCAATGCATAAGAAAACTATTATCTCATCTGACGATTTCCATTCCCAGAGAGTCAAACACCAATAATTGCCAATTACTAATATTTATATGCAATTGGTATGCGTATATACGTCGCGAGGAACCATGGGAATTCACCACTGAACCAACACTGAACTCTATAATGAATTCACCCACCACCAGGCACCAACACGATCACAAAACACATCTGCAAATCTGGCAGCACTAAGATTTGCCGTTGAATCGTTGAAGTATTTTTTAAAGTATTTGGTATGCGGAATAAAATAATTTTTACGGTCGATGATGTTAAAAAAATTATTATTTTAAATATTTATTTTTTCAATTTATTAATTGAAAAATAATTTGTCGAAAATTAACAAAAAAGCAAACACAAATAAAATCATTTATATTCTTAAAGAATAGAGTTTTCCTTTCCCAAAGGGAAAACTTTCCCTTTTTCCCTCATTGACCTCTATAATACCTAGACGGCCCACTCACTACATTTACCCTTTCCCAAAACGGCAGCGCCGCAAGTGGTCAGAGATTCGCAGTGGGAGGGGGGAGGGGGATTTCGCCCACCCCTCCTGTTTTTCGCCAATAACTCGCGCCGCAAACATAACATTAATGTGAAATTTTGGCTACCTGGCCAGAATTGAATTGCGGATCTTCTCGTGCAAGAAATAAGAAAATTGGCTCACAAATTTTCTAGCAATAGCGGTGTAAAGTCAAACATTCGGCCGCCGCACGCGGTGCGGCGGCGCGTCGGCCGGCGTCAGCCGTTACGCGCCGCCTGAATTGTAGACTGTGCCGGGGCAGGACGGTTCCGTCTTTACATCGCGCTCCTTACCGCTGATTATATTCGATTCGTGTCAAATTTTGTGTTAAGACTAAAAAATGTACAGGCAATCTTATGGTCAAAAAATTTAAAAAATCGGCCGGTAAAATTTCAGTTATGAGGGTGTAAACACAAAATTGTGATTGCCGTGTTTCCCGCGTCGGCCGGTCCCGCTTCAGCCAGCGACATCTTACCCTTAGCAGGCTTCTTATTGCCATTTTTATTGTTGGATTTACTAGAAAATTCATCATACATTCTCACAAATGTATGTTCTTTCGTATAGTGAAAGAACAAAGAAAATCGGCCGGTAACTTTTTGAGTTATCGGCGTGTAAACGCAAAAAGTCGCTCATATTTGACCACATTTGACCTCATTTTACCTTGAAGATATTGACCTAGGGTCATGAAATTCACATACAACAGAGTTCTTTAGAGCCCCCACCTACCATCCAAATTTCGTCTTTCTAGCTCCAGTGGGAGCTGAGATCAGAGGCGGATCCAGCTCAGAGGTTTGGGGGGCAAACCATAAAAAATTTATCGATTCTTTCCATGCATCGTCCATAGGCGTAATGTTAAAATCATGCCGTTTGGGGGGGGGGGCAAATGCCCATTTTGCCCCCCCCCCCCTGGATCCGCCACTGGCTGAGATCTTAGGGGGCTACTCCCCGCCCCCTTCCACTGGGCGTGTTAACCCGCGCTGGGCCGGGGGGGGGGGGTGTTTGAACACCTCTCTGCGGTTTTCCGCAGATATCTCAAAAGGTCATGACCTGAGGTCAACTCTGAGGATATGTTGGCGAAAGAGCGTTAAAAGAGCTATCCAACGCGCTTTTTCGCGGCGCTGTAGCTCTATCGGTTCCCGTCCCGAGAGTTAGACGTTGGTAGTTTCCAAAATGTTGAAATAAGCAACATTTTACTTTTGGTGACCTCTGGTGACCTGACCTTTGACCTGACCCAAAAATGAAAAGGTCCTTGAGTTGTGAAGGTGCGCACTGCGCATGTTTCGGACTTTGACCTCACCTCGGGACTTGACCTTTTGGGCTAGGGGGTCAAAAGTTGCACACAAGACGTGCTATTTAATTGTGCGCATGCATGCCAGGTTAGCCATGGGTTGCATACCGCCGTTTTCAAGATATTCGCGGAAGTCAAGTATGTGGGAAGGCAGATTCCGCCTCCCCTCCGGTGTTGCTCCGGTGCGCCTTATCCCGCCCTTATCACCATTGTTACCGTCGTGCTGAAAAAACGAGCCTGATGTCATATGAGAAAAGCATGGTTTGGTTTGAGAAAAGTGTTAAATGTACCACGAACACGATATTTCCCGCTTAAATCGCATTTAGAAAAGTGCCACCCATCATTGCCGACTGTGGCGGTCGGGAACTTCTGACCACTTCCAGGTGGCGCTAGTGAGCCTCCATGCGGGAACGACTCGGCGCTGGTGGCGCCGCGCGAGTGGGCCGTCTAGGTACTAATAGAGGTCAATGTTTTCCCTTGAAAAGCAATTCTGGCGCAGAGCCAAAGCATCGAGAGAAACACGTGCTCCCCGTGCTCCGCGTGTGCTCCGCGTGCTCCTTCAAAAAAGAAGTTGAAACTTGAAAGAAGTGAGACACTGACGGTGTGTCTTTTCGATTGGTATATGCCTGATATCGACGTGAATTTTTGAGGCTTTGGGTTTTTTCAAATTGTGATCTGGTGAGTGAAGTTTCTTGTTTCTATGTCGAAATATTGTCTGGTCTGGGAATTGGGATTGAATAGTCACTATAGAGAAGATGCAGCAACCTCTTGGCTCTTCGGGTCATGTGTTAAAAATGTTGTATTTTTCACGTGCACTAAAAAGCAGTAATCTATCCAGACGCACTTTCAACTGACAGCGCACAGAATATTGTCCCATTTTTAGTGAACACCCTATATACGAACTGACCTGACTCTGGCTGGCTAAAAAATTAACTGAGATTCTTCGCGGGCTTTCGGCGGGGACGGACGCACCTGATCGAGCTCCTGCCAACGCACAGTGACACAACAGCTAACACGCAAACTCAACACTAAGCACCGAACTCATAACAGATAATCGATAAACGTCGTAGATTTGTCCAAGTGTGCTTCAAAGCAAATTTAGGACTGAATTAGCAAGTGGCTGAAAATGATACAACGCTCCCCGGTCCCGAAGAGACGAAAACCGGCAGCTCAACTTGGGACGCCGACGCCCGACGCTGCGGACGCGGACGCGTCGGAAATGTCGACGGGCGGGCGTTCCGCGCCAAATTCTTCGGAACCGGCCCCAACGGAGTTGAAAAAATGTGATACAAGAGACGCAGTGGAGGAGGGTGAGGAACTGGATGTGGATGATGAAGTAGAAGCTGGTCCAGGTAAACAGAAAGACAAGCCGCCTGTCGGTAAGTTGGATCGAGACATATATAAGCCCTGGGGTACCTGTTCTAGGTCCTCTAGTGACACTGGCAGTTCAGATACCACAAGCAGTAGCTGTGCCACAGCGATTTGTAAGGGAGGTCCTGGGAAGGCTTCCTGCGGAACACTTGTAACAGACAGTGACCGCGGTATCCAATGTGACATATGCACTGGATGGTTCCACCCTAAATGTCAAGGGGTCAGTAAATATGCTTTGAACGCTCTCGAGAAACACATTTCAACGCTGGCATGGCTGTGTTATGACTGTAAGCAGTCTGTCAAAAAGCGAAGAGACAAGGAGGATGAAAACGCCACCTCCGAGCTAATCAGTAAGCTCGAAGCAAAAGTAAACAAACTGTCTGAACTCGTACAGGTCGGCCTCGAGTCACTGCACCAATCCACAGGGTGGGAATTCTCTTTTTTTTTCTTGGTGTCTGAGTACAAATTTTCGGGGAAGTGAGTACAAAATTTCATGATGCAGTCACGGCATATCAAATATTAAAAGTGATGATTCAAAGTGATGTACCTAAGTATGATAAAAAAGGACAAATTCAGCACTGCAAACACTACTGACAACACTACTGAGAATTTGCCCATAAAAGACAAGTTGGTCAGCTGGATGAACATGATAGCGAAAACAAGGTATTTGATTAATAATAAAAATAGATATTCCTCAGTAGGCAGCAGTCAATCGTCCGCAAGTGAGCGAGCAGCGAGCACTCAGCAGGTGCCGAAGCCTCACGTGAATCAATTCAGAACAAGTTGCTCTTTGTTACACACACACACACAAAGAATACATTTCTGATCGTCGACGTTTCGCACGTAGCACTGCACCTACCGGCAATTACGTGCAGTGGTTGATTGATTTCACACGACCAATACGCCTTACGTGCCCGCGCCTCACACCAACACCACGCGCCTGCCTTTTGAAGAGCACTTTGCCTGTAGTTCCACCGCCTTCACTGAACAGCGGCCAATGCGCCATTGAGGAGCATGAGGGGTATGGGTTCTCTTTCACTGCGCGCTAGTAGCGCTCACTAACATAAAAAGCGCTTTCGGTTTCCATGGAAACTTGATAAACTTGTTTAGCTTTAATCACCGAACGCTTGACAGCCTTTGCCTCTCTTTCAGAAAAGAACATGGCATTGACTTCGGGCGACATCTATACTATTCCTCACGAGACTGCCGACCAGCGCCATCTAGCCAGGAAAACAAGAGAAGAGACTGAGAGCCACGAATGCGGACTTCTGACCAAGACGACCCTTTATAACATTTAATCCAGCTAATCAACGAACGCCGAGTTTTCGTAATACTCTATGGTTGATTTATGTAACTATGGCCGACATAAGATAGCTGCCGTCCAGTCGCGAGGCAGCGCTGCGCCAGTGCTCACGATCGCGTCGTACCCTGATGGATCCGTGTTTCAATCATTGCTTCTTTGCGTTGCTTCTGCTGGTATATATTGCGAATAATAATATATACTGAGACACGAACTCTTTTTTATCTTTATTAGCAAAAAAGGTCGCCATCGGGCAGCCAGCCACAGTGTACCTACTACAAAAACGGTCGCCGTCGGGCAGCTAAGCTCAATAAAAGCTGAAACAGACTCTTTCCGCAGTCAGGAAATCGCACGCGAGAGCCTATTCAAATGCATTAAAATCCTTCCCGCATCATTCGTATGCGGGAGGTGCGTACGATTGATGCGAGCGTGATTTAATGCATTTGAATAGGATCTCGCATGCGATTTCCTGACTGCGGAGAGTCTGTTTCAACCTTTACACCATAAAAAACAGCCACCGCCGGCTCACAAAGTCGCACAACACTACACAAACGGTCGTCACCGGGCGGTCAGCCATCAGCTGAACGAAAGGTCCCATCATAAATGCCACTGAGAATAAGAAGCCATGATGATGATGATGATGATGATGACGGCGATGGTTTGAGGTTTTTGGGCGTCCGGACTGCAGTGGTCATCGGCGCCCATAACACGACATTAGAAGATCACGTTATGATTATAAAAAAGAAAACGCAGGAGAAACTACTTAGATCCCAAATTAATACGCCTGAGCAGAAATATGTTTACCTACGCTCCTGGAGAAAATATGACGAACATCAACTACTCATCACAGCCTTCGCCTCATATGATTTGTACTTGTCATAAGGAACCAAGGACTAGCATGAAGACCATCTGTTCTAGAAGGTATCCCTGATAGTGATGTCAGTTACAGAAAATCTGAATACCGATACCAAACCAAATACCAACCAAAACCGTAGGAAAATACTGAGACCGAACCAACTAGGAAATATGATGGAAATACAACCTTTTAACCAAATTCACAGCCCCTTTCACATTAGCGAGGATCCATGATACAAACAAAAATACCAAACACATTTGGATTGAAATACCAAATACCAAGTCGGTATCGGTTGGTATCGTTATACCAAAAAATTGGTATCTGATTGACATCTCTAATCCCTGATATCAGCAGAATGGACCATATCTGGACTACATAAAGCTAGAGAAAGATTAAATAAACATAAAGCTAAACACTTGACACGTGGCTACAGGCCAGCACTGCGCTGGCCTACTCGCTGGTGAGGCACAGCCTCACCAGCTCGCGCCTGATGGCGCTGTATGCTGACGGCGTCAGGTGGACGCCGTCATCATCATACAACGCCGAGACCGGTGGAGCGGCGTTGGCGTCCGGCGGCGGCGGGCGTCCGGGAACCCACCCCGTGGCCCAGGCGACGTCCGGGACCGGCGCGCGCTGGGCCTCGGCGAGGGCAGCTCGGCACGCTGCCACCTCCCTCGCCGCCCTCTCCGCCTCCTCCAGGACCTCGGTGGCGACGGACGCCACGGCCCGCGAGGCCGTGAGTAGCCGGTTGGGTAGCAGGCCCTCCTCAGCCTCCTGGTGTAGATGACAGAACAGGGTTGGTTTTTAACTTGCAGAATACAGAAACTTTATGCACTCATGGAAAAGTCAAAAGCAATATCCCACTACGTTAATTTGCGGCCCACCGCCCACATAAACAGTGCTAAATCAAAACTTAAATATGTTATGGTAAGTGGAAAATATTGAACATTGTCAGCAAGCTTACTGATAAGTACGACAAGCACATACATTTCATGGCATACATACATTTACATAAATTACATTTCATACATACATAAATACATTTCATGCATACATTTCATACATTTCATCTATTCCGGTTTTTTTTCAAATTTGTGTGACATTGCACTGCACATATTCGGTACATTATATTCCTTTCTTTTTTAATTCACAATGCATAAATGACTGAGACTTCATCACTTCTTCGACACTCACCAGCTGTAGGTGGCCTATGGCGGCTTGGAGGGCCGCTCGGCTGGTGCCGCGCCCCGGGGCCGTGTCGTCGGTGGCGGGGCGGGAGGAGGCGTGGCCGGGCGTGACACCCTGGAGCACGGCCGGGTCCGGGGTGGCGGTGGCGGAGCTTGGAGCCATGCCGGCGACATCCCGGCGCAGGACCGCCTCGACGTCCAGGAAGGCTGCCCCGCGCTGCCTGGCGACCTGCCAGAGGGTCAGGCTGAGGCCCCGGAACATGTCCAGGGCCTCCGCCGACAGGTCCCTCTCCGGCAGGACGCTTAGGATGACGGCGCGGGTGCCTGGGATCACCAGCTCCAGGGTGCTGAGCCAGTGCTCCATGCCGGAGACGACGCGAGCGGCGGCCCCGGCGGCGTCCTCGAGCAGAGGCACTGGTGCTCCCTGGACGCGGTCACCCCGCCTCGGGACGAGGGCCGGCCCGCCAACGCAGATGACTGCGAAGGAGGGCCAGACCCCGTCCAGAGCATGGGTGGCGGCGTCCAGACGACGCCAGTCCTCGCTGGAGCCGCCACCGAGGCCACCGATCGTGCCGCCGTCCGGCCGCACCCACTTGACGTCGAGACGGTGCCGCCCGATGTGCCGGGAAGCGTCCTCGGCGATCGGGTGCACGAAGGCGCGGATGGCGTGTGAGTTACCAAACACGGCCACCCGCACCTCCGCGCACAGCGCCGGCTGCCGTGTTGGCCGGTGGCCTCCGCGCCGGCTCCGGTAGGGCTCTCTGCCGGTACGCAGAACCAGCGACCGATCCCGAGGCCGCCCCCCGTCCTGGAAACGTCAAAACAAGACACAAAGGTTGAAACCTCTGGAAAATAATCAGTTAGAAACACGTCGAGGAATATCGGGTCTGGTGTTAAGGTTCATGCTACATTGGGATGAGGGAATCGATAATCATACCATAGCACATGGTTAAGGTTTTACTCAGTATTCTTCGCCAAGTGCAGTAGAGTCAGTCATAGATCATACTTATCGCATTTGTTATTTTTTAGCCGTTGAAGGGGAGATGTCGGCGGATTGAGGCACATCAAAAACGTTTCCTCACATGTTTCCATCTCTCAGCGTGGCGGGCAAAATCAGCCACCCCAGGCAGCGGCGCGAGGAGCCGGATGGAATGATACATGAATGTACCTATCAAGGGCGATGAAAGCGGTATATCTGTGGAGGTTGCTCCAAGAGATACATTCATGTACCACGCTGCCCGCACTAGACGCAGCTTATTCTTATTCCGTAGAGAAATTATTGATGCCCATTTGCTGCACCGTTACTAAAAAAAAAAAATTAACGCAAAAGCTACGTCTAGAGCCCGTCCAAAAGACGGACAATACGAATGAACAATGACCAATGCAGTGAACAAGGGTAACACATTACGCCACACACATTCACACGAACAGGCAGACATGCTGAAAGTGACACAGCATCATGACCCTAACAAGTGAAGTACAGTAACGCACCTGCATGCATCACTCACATGCCCTCCTCCAATCTGCCACCGCCCTTTCCAGCATACAACACCAGCATGTACACAACACACACACAAACAAGACACACACACGAGTATGACAATGCACATCTTATTCGGATGTATTCTACGCCCGCAAGACGATAATACGTCATGGGTATTGTAGATACTGAAACTGTCATGATTATTCACGTCTGATCCAGACGTAGTCTACGCCCGCAAGACGATTATACGTCATGGGTATTGTGGAACTGGATACTGAAGCTGTTATGATTATTCACGTCCGATCCCGATGTATTCTACGCCCGCCAGACGATTATACGTCATGGGTATTGTAGACACTGAAGCTGTCATGATTATTCACGTCTGATCCAGACGTAGTCTACGCCCGCCAGACGATTATACGTCATGGGTATTGTAGACACTGAAGCTGTCATGATTATTCACGTCTGATCCAGACGTAGTCTACGCCCGCCAGACGATTATACGTCATGGGTATTGTAGACACTGAAGCTGTCATTATTATTCACGTCTGATCCCGATGTATTCTACACCCGCCAGACGATAATACGTCATGGGTATTGTAGAAAAATGCAGTCGTAAGTACTAACGTCCGATCCGGATGTAGTTACTTGACAGTAACGGCCATTTCTGCTGACTCGGATTCCGAATGACAAATACCGGTAATATGTCACTGCTAGGAGGTATGTTTGCACTTCCTGTCAGCGCCAAGACTGCATCATACGATAGATTAGGATGCATGCGTTATAAGAAAGTAGTTCCTTAACTGTTTCTTGATTAACATTGCTCACTTTTTCGTCATCACATTTGAAAAAAAACTCGCCTCTTCTTATCAGGCATTGGTAATGTCCATGCTCCCTCGTTCCCCAATGTAATATGGCACCTACCAAATGATAAGCTTTATTTCCGCCTGGTATACAAAGTCCCTCTAGAGGACAATCAAGTGCAATTTTTTGACGCCTGTCATAATCCGGACGTTGCATATTCAGTACCATGACTTCAGGCTCACAAGAGATGGATGTCGTGTGTGCCCCTCCACGCCCAGAACATTCATCGTTGCCACAACTGAAGTCGTCTAAAATTGTTGCTGAGCAGTAATCACTCAAACATTCATACACGGTACTTCTTTTATTGCACCAAAGATGTAACTGATGCTGATTTACATGTTTGTCTGATGAGTATGAGCAATGTCTGCACTTCAATGTTGTTGTTGTATCTATTCTAGCGCTGTCGATATTCATTCCGCCTTCTAGGAATACCTTAAAAATGCATTCTAGCGCCTCCGACGAGTCCTGTTGTTCGTCATTATGGAATATCTCAAACTTTTTTGCAAGGATACCCTTGATGGTTCCTGGATCGGAACATATTTCGGAATTATAGCAATCACGCAAATTGTTTATCAATAAATTTGCATAATGATCATGGCCCGAGCCACCTCTTTTTATCCTCAACAAAGGAAGAATTTGGAGAACAGTTATAAGATAGCAGTCGTTACGGCGGTTGATCATTCCCCTGGGAGTTTGTTGCGCATGAAAAAGAACGGCATCCGAAAAGGAATACTGTTCAGCATTATCATTGTCATCGCCACCTGGAGACATATTAGTAGTACTCATCTCGGAAAAACGTGTGTCGTCTTCAACAGCAAACATTTCCGATGGCCGGGCCTGGGAAGTCGGTGATCCAACACTACGTCCACTTTCATTGCGCTTATCACGAAGCTCTATTTCGTTGTGCTCCTTCTCATGCCTTAAATCAATCAGTGGTGATTTGGCAGCTTCAGGCTCTTTCGGGGGTTTAGAAACGTTCTGCTTGCTTTTTATAAACGTGAGGATCGAACTCTGCTTCCACTTTGTCACTGCTGCTAGTTCCACTGAATGCCCAGATGCAATTGGCGAATCTAAATCATCTGGGTCGTTATCTGAGTCATTAACATCTACCTGTCGTTGAGATCGTAGTTGCTGTGGTTCACTTTGTTCAAATGACACCTCTTTGTCAGTTTGCGCTCGAGCCTGAACAAAATCATCAACTTCCATAGCATTATCATCTGACGCAACATCAGCATGTTCAGAGGCAGTTTCACCAATGCTCTGCGACATATGATCTTCACCTGAAGAACTATGAGCGTGTACATCACTAGAAGCGTGGACAACATCTGTACGGAGATTCGAATCTGTGTTCACTGTACTATCACCCGCAAGACCTTCATTGTTATCTGATGTCAGCACGGGGGAGCCCACGCTACGATCCTCTTGCGTAACATCATCTGACGTGGTACCTGCTTCTCTGGGCTGTTGGTCCAAATGGTAAGATGTCATAAATTTCACTTTCGATGGTTGATGCTTACGAAGGTAAGCAGGGGTTTTCTTGCCTCGTTTTTTAAGTACACCATAATGAAACTTTGACCACTCCTCTTTAATGGCATCAATTGGTAGATCATGTAATTCAAGTCCTAGCTCACGGATGTAAACTTCTTTAGCACACCTGTCCTTCTCCAGCGGTTTCAGTTCATTAAACTTGCCACCGAATCTGTTTTCCGAAAGATCCTTGACTAATTTACCTGTTCTTTCCGTATCAGACTGTGATCGACATAGCAACACTGCTATTTCCATCAATTCAATAACATCTGGAATACTGACGTGCAGCTGACTCGAGGGCCTTAGAAAATCATGTAGAATGAATCCGACCGACAATATCTTTACACCATTGTCGTCTGCATACCATTCAGCACGTAACTGAATTTGACCAGATACGCGGTTCTTAAAAACGATATACTGGTCTTCAACGCACCTGCATTCTTTTTCGTGCCGGCACATGGAACTATGTTTCCCTGGAAAACGTATGTTACTGTGAGTACAGAAGAACTTGACTACTTCGCGAAGCTCCTTATTCCTGAATTGTTTCAAAGCCAACTTGTCGTGCAAAGGAAATGTGGGAATATCGAAAATTTTCATCATTTTATCTTCAACCTCTGTAACGTCCAAAAAGGCGTCAAGTTCATCAAGAAGAGCTTGGGCTAGCTGAGCCTGCCTTTCCATAGCTCGTTTGAGGGCGTCTTTGAGTGTTGAATGGTAACTGCTACCGATTCTAGTACTCCGTTTATGAGAAGTGACTAATAAGCTCACGTTTTCGAAGTCGAATCCGTTGAACCGTCCTTTACGGAACTCTTTACCGTGTTTCCGTATCAGAGGATTGGATTTGCCGTCGCAAGCTTCTTGGAGAGCAAGACGACACGCATCTATCGCTTTACGATCATCCCACAAAGAATAAGTAGCTTTCTGTGCAGCTTTACTGACTTTCTTGACAATATCTAAGACATATAACAGCACCAGGGCGGTAGGAATGAAATCGATATCGCACAAGACATCTAGGGCTTGAAGTTTATCTGGATCGTTATCACGGCGCCCATCATTCTCTATCGTCATAACTACATTCCCATACTGTTTGATAATTGAATTAATCGCTAGTACAGTGTACTCAATAAATCTCGTGTCAACATTTCTATAGAGAACAGTAAATGTGGGATCGATCCTTCGAGCCAATCGCATAAGTTTTGATGACCGATTAATTGCCCCTACCACTTTATCAACATTTGATCTGATGAAGACTCTTGCCCACTGAAATTCGTCTTTTCTAAAAACACTGTCAGTCCATAATTCTACCTTATGGGCTCTGTCAAGCAAATGCAGAAATGCGTTGTTATTGAATCTTTCACGCCATCTTACCGCTACACCGGACTGTTGTCCTGCATAAACAGCTTCTTTATCAGAGCTCATGGAGAAGCACATTGTACCGACACTCCGAGGCGAAAGATCTAGGACTGATTTTGTCAGGACATCACATATGTGTTCTAGACAGCCAACAGCGTCCGACTCGTGCGTGACACCTTCCGCTGCGTCAGCCTCCGAAGCCCTATTTCTGATAACATCGACTGACAAGTTTGTTACCTTGGGAGCACCATCCACGTCAATAAACCTTATATTAACTACCTGTCTTGACGTTCTTTCAGCCGTGACTTTGTCAGCACTAATGTGGAAGTGTCTTAGACGTCCTGTTGTCGGATTTACAGATTTTAAAAAACTGCAATGTGACTTTCGAAGCACTTCATATACCAGTATAACGCCTTTTGGGGCGACTAACGGAGCGAGCGAGAGGGTGGGCCTTGCACGTGCGAACTTTCGAGGGGGTACCTCCAACTGACTTGTGCACGGCACCTTACTAACCGGTCTCTAGCGATGTGCCAAATTTGAGCACAATCGGCCCAGCCGTTCTCGAGATCTGGAAGCGGCACCCTGCACGTGCGCACGTGCAAAATGCGTCCCAACTGACTTGTGCACGGCACCCTACTAACTGGTCCCTAACCGTGCACCAAATTTGAGCGCAATCGGTCCAGCCGTTCTCGAGATCTGGAAACGACCCCTGCACGTGCGCACGTGCAGCAGCACCCCAACTCTGGCACATGGATATGCAGTGCCTAGTGGGTGCCTACCTACATGCCAACTTTCAGCGCAATCGGCCAAGTAGTTACCGAGATATTGCAACAATTACAAAAGTGACACCTCTTCGTTTTGCACGTGGCACGTGCATAAGGGGTCACCCACATGCATCGGGAATAGTGCAATACTTGGTAGAAGGAATGAAGCTACCCTATAAAAATTACCGCATGTAAATCGGTCAAGTGGTTGCTGAGATATAAGCCTCGCAAAAGCGTGACCACGGCCGGCCGGCCGGCCGGCCGGCCGGCCGGCCGCTCATACTCAGAAATTTCCGTTAATCTAAGGAAAGACTACGCTCGCTTCGCTCGCTCCGTAATAACGTCTATTGCAGAGGCAGCAGCCTTACGACTTGTGTTCCAATCAATGTGTGAGAATGTTTCTTTTGTAGACATCATATTTGAGAACAATCTATTCATAAGTGACTCAAATGCAGCATAAGAATGCCCCAATAGCAGGTTATGATATGCAGCCATCAGCATGTCCCTTGTCAGATTATCATCTAGCCGTTTATGCTTCTCGCACTGTAAACCAAACAGGCTTTGTATTCTGTCACGCTCTTCAGGCACCTGCATGCATGCCTTATGAACAGCAGTGGCTGCATGCCTAGCGATAATTTCAAGTCTATTCTTTTTTAGCGAAACGCCTTCCGTTGTCCAACGCAGTGCTTTATGCTGGCCTCGCATGGCCGAAACAGTTGCCTTATTAGCAATGCACGTTGAACAAAATCCTAATTCCTCTGAGCCTGTACCCCGAGTGAGAAGCCATGGAAACTGTTTGGCAGTGTCAGCACTTCGTGCCTTTGCTGCTCCTGGAGAAATTTTTTTCTCAAGCTCAGTCATCTCTTTCCTGAGAGAGGCGCGCGAAACAAATTCAGAGTCGTGACTATCGATTTTCCTAGATAGCATACGAATTTCACACAGTATGTCTCGTAACATCTGGGATTCAACCAAATCGTCACCCATGACACCTGGCTGCTGAGCACCACCTTCACTTATACACTCAGCCTGCTGCAGCCGTACGGTCGGTGTCGACGTGCTCTGCGCTGTGTCCCGTTCTTGTGTGGTATCTGTCACAGTTACGGGGGGGCTCGTGCGGCCGGGATAATTATCACAGACTTGATTAATTCGATCCGGAGATGGGTGCTCGTGGTATGATGATTGAACGGAGTCTCTCTCAGTGTCACACCCTGTCCCAACGGTGTTTCGGCATTGGCAGTAATGTCAGGCTCGTTGTCAGTGATAATGACAGTGACTGGCTCATTGTCATCGTTTTCCCTTGTAGAACGAGATTTTACAATAGCCTTCTCTATGAGATAGCCAGTAACACCACGGGGATTTTTTCTCATAGCATCTAAGTAAGCTTCTCTATGTTTCGATTTCACATGACGTGGGAAATTCTTTGTTGAAATTGACTTAGGGCATAAATGACATGTTACTGTTCCTTTAACATGTGAGCGTGTAGCGAACCGTATTCGTTCAGAAGACTTCCTACTAGCCTTACTCTTGACGACAGGTCTCGGACGTTCATCGTCATGCACCTGAAAAGAAAAAGTACTTTGTTTTACTGCAAAAGAAAGTTAACACTTACCCCTTATCCACTAATGTTTTATATACACCTAATGGGGGGGGGGGGGGTCAACCAACTGCGTAAAGGTTTGGTGGTGGGGGGGGGGGGGGCAGGGCACTGCAGGGGTGGTGTCTACTCAACAACCTCTGCTCAGCGTCGAATAAGCAGAGAACCACAACAATGCCCCTTAACCCTCGCCCGCACATGGGGGGTTGCCACCCCCCCCCCCCCCAGGTAGTTTTTCTGCTCTGCACTCAACATTTTTAGAGCTAGAAGCCTGTAGCTGCTCCCCTATCCTTTCTTGATGTCCACTGAAAATTTCAAGTTTCTGTGGTTTTTGGTTTCGGAGATATGACCTTGTTCTTCAGGTCATGTCATGACCCAAATGACAAATACCCAATATCTTGCGTTGGCTATGGGTCTTGTGAGCTTTTGACACCTTGATTTCGGCCTTTTTTGCCAGTCTTACCTCCCACCTATCATGAAACATGTTGTTCGACGATGTCAGATGTCAAGGTCAGGGTCAAGGTCAACCTAGGTCATCTAAGAATATTGCGTTTTAGGCAAGCTGAATTTACTTTTGTTAAGTTTCTTTGACTGTATTTTTGGTAAAAGCTTCTCATTTCATGATCTCATGTAATATGGACACCTAAACAATCGGTGCACACATCAGTATACACACAGACACACACAGACATACAACACATATAATTGACCTTGACCTAACTTGACCTGAAATGACCTCAGCAGCAAAAACCTGGTCGGATAGTGTGACAAAGAGGTTCTAGCTGGCCTGGCACCAGAAAACAGCATCGTCATCGGTATTTGATAAGCAGCGCACTTGATATCCAACGGTGACCCAAAACAGCAACATTTTTTAGTTTGACCTGACCTGGAAGGTCAATGACTGACCTGAGAAGGTAAAACTGGGTATCATTGGATTCGTCTCTTCCCAAAGAATCTTTTTGATCTTTACCGTGAAGCTCTATCTCCAACAGGAACGAAATGGCGCGGGAGGGGGGGGTGGCAACCACACCCCCCCATGTGCGTTCTAGGATGGGAAAATGGCATGTGCGGGCGAGGGTTAAAGCTAGTTTTCATATCAAAATATTTAAAGGGATAGGAAGTTAGAAATTCCTCTAAAAAAAACGGGGATGAGGGTGGAAAACCGCTGGTCAGATAGGCCCAAAAAGAATGAACAAATAATTAATATTGATAACATTCATTTCTATACAAATGTGTTAATGCAGGATAAACAGCGACCATCCACGCAAATACTTTTTTCTGTTTAATTGAGAGTGCAAAATTGTTCTTAAAAACTGTAGGTGAGAGTGCAAAATAATTTTCATTTGGATGTTGCTTCCCACCCAAATCAACAAATTTTGAAACACTGTCTCAACTCAAATCTTATGTTAAGGTGGGATGGTCACTTTAAGGAGTGAGTAAGCACATGCATCAAATAAATGTTTGCAGCCCAGCTATAAAGTAGAAACACAAACCTGACACCAGCTGTCAAATGTCAACCTGCCACCAACCATCATAAAAAGCCCAATTATCATGGCATCATTACCATCACATGCAATCACTTACAACTCAATGATGATTTCACATGGGATTCTCTGCAAGGGAAAAGTGAAGTAAAATCTTATTTATGTGAGACTAAACAACTTTCAAATTTCACATAAAACTGATAAAAGCATTAAGTGCACCTCAATTTCATACCGAGTGGTGCCCAGTGGTACCTATTTCATTATCGTCTACAAAAGCAGCACCAAAAGGTAGGTACCTACTGATTTTCACAACACAAACAATGACACTTGATCCAGTAGTCTATCTGGATAAACAAAAACACCAAGAAATTGAGAACATACAATTCCGGACATCCAAAGAGGAAAAAAATTTGAGACCCACATATTTGTATTTCATTTTGCTATGGAAATGTCTAATAGCATTCATAAAAGTCAATAATGCTTATCAGAATCATGGAAACAAACTTACGTTTTGACTCATTACTGCTGATGCTGAGGTTGTTGGGCTGCCACCTTGCCCTGCATCTGTAGCCCTATAAACACAGGGTGGGTGGGAGGGCGTAAGAGCACTGGTTGTGGTCCTGAATGTTTTGGTTTGGTAAGTCTGGCATAAAGTAACACAAAGATACTAGATAGCATGGCATGGGCATCACATCACTTTTCAAATTTGTACGCAAGATTAATTATTAATTTTAGGATAGCGTCTAGCAAAGCCATTCTTGCCAATTGCCATGCACTGTCATAAGATTAATGTCAATGTTAAAATTCTGAAATTATTGTTATTGGTAGCACTGGCGCCCTACCAAGCCTATAGAAAACGATGCCCATGGATCATGATGCCGATGTCCGTTCTGTGTTCACCATTACAGACAACAAACACAAAGACATGTCAGAATTAAAAATCATGCAAATCCTAGCCTTCTCAGGTCGCGAGGTTTACATGTAAGCACATTGCACACCAACCCGAACTGGATGAGATTGCAACTTTTCGATTTCATAAATCGTAGGTACCTATATCCTACATACTGCAAGGTAAGTTAGGTACTTACAACAATGAACAAATCACTCAGCAATGATCGTCGAGCGACGCCGGCAGCAAGACAAAGAACCCTCGCTGGCGGGGGTGTCCCTCCCCCGGCGCCGGCTTGTTTGCGTCGCTTCCATGCTTCCATATCCTCGGGCTTTGGCCTCGGGCCGAGCCTCAGGCTCCCCACCCTCTGTCCTCTCCCTTTACTTGTACTCGCCTCGCTCTTTCCCTGGCGGTCGCGGGCTCATGCCCTGATACAAGCTAGATGCGGCTGCTAAATTAAGGACTTCATTTGGAGAGGCGCAAAAATATTTGAAGATCCCATCTCAGTATACGTTTTCTCATCAACCATGCATACAATGACATCAAAACGCCGTGTGCTAAATCTACAAAGAATTTGCTTTGAATTTCAGTAAAAAAAATAAAAAAAACTAATTTCGTTTTCAAAATTTTTTTGGAGTTTGAATAAGTTGTGACCGTGAAAAAATAGATATTTTAAAACCGAAAATTTTGCTACAATTTCTTTTTCAAAGGGTATAAAATGCCAAAGATGATTAGTTAGGGCTTTGAAGATTTGATTTTTGACAATTTTGTTACATGTTACTGTCTAAACATTCATAATTTGTTGAATAAGATGAACTCTCAAAATTGCTCGGTTTTAGGCTCCGACCCCAAGAACGTCAATTTTGCCAACTAGGCGAAATCTCACCAAGGCATTTACGACGCAGATCTTAGGTATTTGTCTCGAAAGTTTTGTGGACGCGTGGTAATGGTAATTTTATAGTGTGTGGTAGGCTCCGTCTAATGCTAGTGATTGCAAGTTTTTACTTTTGGTAAGTTTTGATGGTTGCTAATACTTATTCTTGTTTTAACCTACTAATTCAGTGGCTGGTACTACTGGTGATTTTATCTAACTTAGATATCGTCTGCCATTGCTCATTTGTGATTCAGATTGAGGTTCCTACCTACCAATTATAATTCATGGATTATTTGGCTGGTACCTACGCCATACTGAGTGATTACTTTTATGACCATTTAAAACCTCTTTATTCATGCAACGTAGCTTCCAGTTATGAATATATTTGTATTTGATTTCAATTAACATTTCACAAGTCAGAGTCACCAGTCACCACTCATTACAATGCATTCACACTTCAGCATCATACCGCTCAAAAAATGAAATATCAAGGAACGGTAAATCCTATTACTCTTCATATCGGTGCTAAGGCTTCTTTTCTTTGTTCTTTATATTAGGTATTACTGCTGTTTTCATTGGTGATGTCTTGTAGATTTCCTGAAAAGTGAGAACAAAATAATCATTATTTTCCAGTAATGAGTACTGAGTACAAAATTTCTCAGTGTCTGGAGACACCAATCAGCGGCAACTTTGCCAACCCTGCCAATCCAACAACCGGATCCAGGTGAGTGTAGAAAAAGGATCAGCCAGTCTGAAGGAGAACATGGAACAAAGGATAGTAAAAGTGGAGAAAGTAATGCGGGCCCATGCCAATCTGATCGAAAACCAGGAGAGGATGCTTGATGTTGCTCTGAAGAAAATTCAAGATGACAAGAAGTCATATGCTGAAACTGTCAAAGGAAGTTGTGATGTCATGCAAGAGGTTGCAAGGAAGATCGAAGCAATCCCTCTCCGTGATAAAGACCAGGGAGGCCGTCATACTGAGACAGCCATAGCGGGAGTCTTCGACAACTTCCTGGATAAGGAAAAGCGAAAGCTGAACGTTGTTGTACACAACATCCCTGAGCCTCAAGGTGAGAGCTTCTCTGAGAGAGTGGAGCAGGATAAAGCCACATTTAAGGAGATCATCAAGGAAGGGCTGAGACTCAATATTAATGTGACAAAGGCTTACAGAGTTGGAAAGGTCGGTCAGGAGAGGCCAAGACTGATGATAGTTGGTCTGGAGAATGCTGAAGTTAAGATAGAAGTGCTGAAGATGGCCCCACAGCTCAGGTCAACAGAGAGATGGCAAAATGTGTACATCACTCCAGACCTTACTTGGAAAGAACGTGAAGAAGGCAGGAAGCTGAGGGAAGAACTGAGAAGACGCACGGATGCAGGGGAGGGAAACCTCATCATTAAGCGAGGTCGCATTGTGAAACGGACCAGAAATGAAGATGAAAACCTGACAGCAGCTCCAGCTCGGCAGCAAATTCAAGCCAGTGGGAGCCAGTCGGCTGCCCATGCAAGAACATCTGATCCCCAGCAGAAAAGCGTTAGTCAGCTGCAGCGGGGAGACGGTGTCCCACCGGATGCGGTGAGGCAGTATTGACAGTCTAGCACAGCGAAGAATGCAACAGGTTTTAAGGTGCTTTATACAAACGCTGATCAATTCATTAGTAAAAGAGACGATCTTTGCATGCTCATTGCAGGTAATGAGCCCGACTTCATGTTAGTTAATGAGGTAATACCGAAAGCCCAGCTCCACCCTATCTCTCCATCTCTCTTAACTATCCCAGGCTACAACATGTATGTGAACTTTGACCCCTCTGCATGTAACCTTGGCAACAGTGGTCAGAGAGGGATATGTATCTATGCGAGGACAAATCTGCATGTCAGAGGTCACCTTCAACGTGTCATCCCCCAAGGACCAGCTCTGGATTGAGATGCCTTTGTATGGCCAGGACAGCCTACTGCTAGGGTGCATTTACCGCAGTCCTTCTGGAACGGCAGAGCAAGATGTTGTAGAGATTGGTGAACTGCTAAAGACAGCATGCAGGTCTTCTCACTCGCATGTAGTCATAACCGGTGATTTTAACTTGCCACAAATTGACTGGGACCTTGGCGCTTCCACTGCCTCACCTGCACATTGCTCCCACAACTTTGTTGACATAGTGAATGACTGCTTCCTGCACCAACATGTCACTCAACCAACGAGGTTTAGACTGGGTGAAACACCACACACATTGGACCTGGTTCTGTCAAATGAGGAGGGGATGATCCAAGGCCTACAGTCCCTCCCTGGACTAGGATCAAGCGACCATGTTGTCCTCAAATTCAAGCTGAACTGCTACTCGGAAGTAGTAGAACCAGCTGAACCTCGTTACAACCTGAACAAAGGGAACTATCGTCTCATGAATGCTCGACTGTCTTCAATTAACTGGGCACCCACGACAGAACTCGAGACCGAAGTATTGTACAATGTCATCAAAGACACGCTTCTGTCTCTGGCATCCAATTGCATACCCCTTGCCAAACCAAGGTCAACGAACAAGAGCCTGTATGTTAACCAGGAGGCCCTGCGGCTCAAGAAACACAAGCGCGCTATGTGGTTCCAGTATGTGCGCACAAGAGACCCACTGGACTATGCACGCTTCACCCGCGCTCGGAATAAGCTCCGCACCCTTACCCGAAACCTCAGAGCAGATTTTGAGAAGAGGCTTGTCTTAGATATCCGAGAAAACCCCAAGGGATTCTGGCGTTACACTGGCTCACGATTGCGCACCAAAATAAGAGTTGAAGACCTCAAAAACGACGATGGGACGATGGCACGGAAAGACAGCGAGAAAGCGAACCTGCTCAACCATTGTTTCCAGAGTGTTTTCACCACTGAGTCAACTGTCTTGCCCACGGTGACTGCCTCCTATGGGGGCCCCCGTCTGGAAGACGTGGACATCAGCTCTGCATCGGTGAAGCGGAAGCTCCTCAAACTCAACGTGGACAGTGCTCCGGGCCCAGACGGACTACACCCCAGGGTTCTCCGAGAGACGGCTGAAGCGATGGCGGAGACATGGACGCGGCTGTTTCGTTCCTCCGTGGACTCGAGCCACCTCCCAAGGGACTGGCGCGTGGACGAGATCGTCCCAATCTTCAAAAAGGGCCTCAGGACGTGTCCCCTTAACTACAGACCGGTCACCCTCACATCAGTCCCCTGTAAAGTGCTGGAATCACTGATTCGCGACCAGCTGATGGAGCATCTCACCCGGACGGGGCAGTTAAGTGGCGCGCAGCACGGATTCAGACCCAGGAGATCCTGTTGTACCCAACTGCTTGAGACCCTCGAGGAGTGGACCAGTGGACTAGAAAGAGGTGAGGCAATCGATGCCATCTACCTCGACTTCAGCAAAGCCTTTAACTCTGTTCCACACCAGCGCCTGCTTCTGAAGCTGCGGGCCTGCGGCGTTGATGGCAAGCTCCTGAACTGGGTGCAGGCGTTCCTCACGGGGAGGCAACAGAGGGTTCGGGTGAACAACTCAAGGTCGGAATGGGCCGCTGTGACCAGCGGGGTGCCACAGGGAACTGTCTTGGGGCCGCTGCTATTTGTCGTGTACGTCAACGATCTGCCCGGTGAAGTCGCGTCCTCAATCAAGATGTTCGCAGACGACACGAAAATTTACAGGAGTGTCAGCCGGGCATCAGACGTTCTCACCCTCCAAGCTGACCTAGATACACTCGTTGAATGGTCGGAACGCTGGCAGCTGCCCTTCAACCGAACAAAGTGCAAGTCACTGCATCTGGGCTCCCACAATGGAAACTACGTCTACCACATGGGCGACACGCAGCTGGACCAGACCTCGGTGGAGAAGGACCTCGGAATCCACGTCGACCACCAACTCAAGTTCCGTGAGCAGGCAGCCGCGGCGATTTCGAAAGCATCGCGCATCCTGTCCGTGATCCGGCGAAGCTTCGCCCTTCTAGACGAGAACACTCTGCCTCTGCTGTTCCGAACGATGGTGCGACCTCACCTGGAATACGCGAACTCCATCTGGGGACCTTTCAATCGGGAGGACCAGAGGCGCGTTGAAAAGGTCCAGAGGAGAGCTACGAAGCTGGTTGCCGCCATCCGAAATCAGCCATACGAGGAGAGGCTCCGGATTCTCGACCTGCCGTCTCTATACCATCGCCGACGCCGGGGCGACATGATAACTGTCTACCAGGTGCTCAGACAGGGGATTGACCTCGAGGCAGAGAGATTCTTTGCGGCGGCAGCGACAGGCAACACCCGCGGACACCAATGGAAGCTGTCGAAACCGAGGGCCGTATCCCGAGTGCGTCGAAATGTCTTCTCCGTCCGAGTCATCAACGATTGGAACGGACTCCCGCCATCAGTTGTCGATGCCCCCAGCCTAAACGCCTTCAAAGCCAGACTGGACAAACACTGGGCACATTTGAAACACACAACTCACCTTAACGACTGAGTCAGGACACTGAGTCAGTAAGGAGCTCGATAGGACCGGATCCTTGAGGCCAAGTGGCCTTTCAAAATTCCGAACTTTATAAGTATAAGTAATAAGTAAGTAAGATTCTGGGCTGAACTGTCAACCCAGACTGGAAATAATACACATTATGCCGAATATGTCTGGCGTAGTGGCGGGATTGCGCTGAAAATTTGAGCGCACGTCCGGCGTAACTTCGCATGCGCCGAATTCAGCGCATGGCGGCGGACAAATTTTTTGGCGCAGGGCGGTCGCATAATTTTTTGGCGAAAGACGGTCACC